ATCACTGTCCCGCGCTGTCCCTCAGCGCAGCCTCAGGCCCTGCTTCCATCGCCTCGCGTTCCAGTCACAGCTGTAACCCTCCAAAGCCATCGAAGCTAGACCATGATTTGTGTGTGTTACACGCCGCTGAAGGAGTTGCTGCTGCCTCTGAGGCACACGCACAGACCTGATTTGACACACAGGAAGCCTCCAAACCCAGGAGATGCTGGAGATGGTTTGCTCCCCCATGTAAGCGAAGCAGCCAGTTTGAGAAATAGAAAGGTTGTTGAAAGAGGTGTCATTAGCACAGGGAAAGCATAAGCCAAGCTTTGGAGTTGGGAAACCTGCATGACTCATACATCTGTTCATGAGACAATTTAGAAACCAAATTGCTGTAGAAAAAAAAAAAAAAAAAGAAAAAAATTACAAATGCACAGACAAATGGTAAATCATAGTAGCAAGGAACTGCCTGGCTGCCCTGACACTCGATGGAGAAGCAGGGAGGGAACTGAGCTCACTGAAACCCTCAAGGTGTAAATAATGGCAGGAAGCTGCTGTTTCTCACAGCCCTCACTCCTTGTTGGCAGGATGGAGTTCAGCTTGTCCAGGCCCTGCTCACAGGGATAGATCTGGGAAACAGTGTGAGGCAAAGCTCCAGGCTGTGATCTCCAGGAGGAAAACAGCACTGGAAATTCACTTCTCCCTTCTTGAAACTGGAGTGTGACCGCAGAGCGGGAGAATGCTTGGAACTTAGTCTGCTGTTTGGAGAGGATTGAAGTAAAACAAATATTTTTGTAATAAAAATTTAATATCCTTTTTTTGGGCTTTGTAATCAAAGCAGCTTTCTAAGCTATGCGCGCATGGACAGTAATCCTCCCCTAATCTTGCTCGCCTCAGGCATAGGAGATGCTTAGGAAATAACAAAGCACTGCCTACTACAGGAGAAACTTCTAATTTGTTTTTGTCTAGCTCAGCATAAGGCCAAGCCCCAGGTGCAATGGACCATCACATGAAAAATGTAACAGAGCTCAAACATAAAATACTCTCGCAGCCATGTATATAGATCAAATACCAGATGGCATGAATGGGGTAACTGTGAGATGGTGTTGGGGATGGAAGTCCAGTTCCAGATTCTTTTACCAGAACAAGGTATCCTTTAAATGTGTGAAATCCAGGGAGACAGCAAGAGAACCAGGGTTTTGTGGGGGCCAGAGCCCAGTTATGGTCACTGCTGGGCACATTACAACCATATTTCCTCAGAATTTCTACTACAATTCTTTCCCCATCTCTCATAACTTTGTAACAATTTTCTAACCAGAAACTTTTCTGTATTGAAAATATATTTAGACCTTTTTTCTCTTAGTATTCCTTCAGCTGAAATCTGCACAGTTAAAAAAATTTGAAATTAGGAGCAGCAGTGATCCACACCAGCATGTGCCTTTATGTAATTTGGCTTTGATTCACCACTCATAGGTGTATGAAATTAGGACTGTGTTTACTGAGCTTACACTTGAGGACATCTGCTGCTGGTTGATGTAGCTGATGCCTTCATTGGGGAAGATCCCTTTTTTTCCCTTTCAAGGACACATGAATTCCTCCAGTCTGCAGGAATGCACACCAGGTGTGCCTTGCTCCACTCTGCTGGTGTCAAATCCCTGGTGTCTGAGCAGGGGTGTGAGGGACCCCGCAGAGGCCGACTCTGAGTTTATTTTATTATGGCTAATAGACTAAGACCCATCCTAGTTTGGAATCGAGCCAAGGCCTGAAACTGAAATTGCTTCCTTGTAAGCTGATTTGCTCCAGTCAGTGAATTGAGGGAAGAGTTCCCTTCCCATCCTGTTAGACCTGCCGTCTTGGCAATGTTAATAAAATAGACCCCAACCAAGGACCAGTGGCAGGATGCCAGGACAATGCATCAAAACTATCTTTCCTGGAGAGAATCATCCAGCAGGTTGTCAGCAGGAGCTGTGCCTCTACCAGCCTGCCAGGGACTCATCTGGAAGAGCCCTGCAGAACCACAGTGAGCTGCCAGATAGACGTGTGAGCCAGAAGCACAAACCCAGGTGCCCGCAGCCATCAGCGACACACAGTGCTGGCTCTGTGCCATGAGGTGCATCACTCACTGTTACAGTGTCCCCTCACCAGGCACAACGATCCTGCAGGTGTGGAGACCTCCTGGTCCAACCTCAGGCGGGGCAGAGGTGGTGCTGACAGGCCATGAGAGGCACTCCAAGCCCTGACTGTCACTACTTGGTCAGCCAAGGTGGGAGGCAGAACATCTTTGTACAGCCCCAGGGCTGTATCCAAGGCATGTACTGGGAACCCTTGTTAAACCTGAGCCCTCCAAGAGCGGCTCCAGCAGCAAAGCTCCCCTTGCTCTGGAGCCAATGGAGCCTCTCCCACTGTGGCATGGCTGAGC